GGGGGCGGGGCGGGGCGTACTCTTATGTTTGGCACGCCTCAACTGTCAAGACTATTGACCGCGCGTCCTCGAAAGGACGGAGCATTGTTCCGACAGGACCGATCACCGATGGCCAATCGTTCCTCTCTACTTTGCCAAAGGTGGCTCAAAAACGTTTTCCCTGCCCAATATGGGCGGCGAGTAAAAAGGGGAGGGCGTCGAGTCGATGCCATTGTTGATTTTCTACGAAATATAAAGCATGCTAACCCTGGCGTTTTTCGGCCTTGTGGTAATCTTTAGGCGCGACGAGTGCCTCACGGCGGTGGCACAGGGTGGTGGCATGCAACTGTTAGCCGATGTCGTTACCATTCATTGAACAACAAGCAAAACCTGCGTCGGTCGATGTGGGTCGAACGCACCGGCAGACGAAAAATGCACCGTTCTTCTTTCGCACGTATGAGCAGACAAGACTATACGAGTGGGCGGGCGACAGGCTTTCAACGGTTCCGCCGCATTTCTAGTGAAAGCCGCCTTAGTGGCTGCCGTGACCGTGAAAGGGATGAAGGGCTCCGCGTCACCTTGGACCGGTGGCGCTGTACGGACGCTAGAGGGCACGCTTTGGACGGAGTTTGTTCACCGCACGAAGATAACAACAACAGCGACAACAACAGAAACAGCAGTCAAAACAACAAGGCATGTGACGCCAACGACGAAGACGACGACAACAAAACGACACGCACGCACAACAATCACAACATAACAATTGTCATGCACACAAAAACAGTTGAGTGGATGAAGACTCTCTCGGTCCCAGCATGACAACAACGACGATGACGACGACGACGACGACGACGACGACGACGATCAACAAAAAAAAGAACACACACAATGATCACCAACATTAGCAAATGTTATGCACACAGCAACAGATAGCGAAGACTCTCGGTCACAGCATGACAGCAAAAAACAACACACACATTACGTTACACCATCATCAACAACAACAAACACACTCACGGTCCCCGGCCTCTTCCAAAAGCTTGCGCCGCACGCTCCTGCTAGCCTCGCCGGCTCCCCCGCTGCCGCCCCCCGCGGCCTCGTCCGCCTCCGCCTTCTCCAGCTTCTTCCTCTCCGCGCCCACCTTCGCCTTCAGCTTCTCGATCTTCCAGTTTTGCACCCTTCGTCGAGTGAACGGAGCGGTGTTGGGTTTATTTCGGGTGTGGTTGAGGCGGGGATTGGGGGGCACGTTGGCGGTGTCGGACGGATGTTTGAAGGCCCGACCTCTCCACGGTGAAGAAAGAGGATGATACCAAAGATAATCAATTTTTGCTGTAACCGTTTCGGGAAAGCCCTCGAGGAGACGGTTCCACCGCCCTTACTGCTCGGGTTGGCTTCGCAGCGTTTGTCAAGGTTTGAATTCAAGGTCGGTCATGGTCATGGATGTGTGATACCTTGCGTATGAAGCACAAAAGTGTTCAGTGTTGTGAGCGAACACCGCAGAAGGGGACGAAACTGAGCTCACGACGACCTGCAAAACTGAGCGATGTCGCTGGCTTCATTTTAAGTCTCAGGTATTGTATACTAACCGCTGCCATGTTTCCACTCATTTTCATGTTTCCGCTGTCTTCTTCCCTCTTGTTTTATGTGGCTCTGCCGCTATGTTATTGCCACATTCGATACATCTGCTTGTCCTGTTCATCCGCAAGACCAAATCCATCTCTTAAGACATATATAATATATACCTATATATACAAGTCAATCTGCTTGCCTTGTCTACATGTGTAAGACGAACAACGGCCTGTAGAGAGAGGCTCACCTGCCCGGAATGTAGCACATCCAAATCTGAGGGAGTCATGATGGCACCACCAAATAAGAGCAAGGGAAAAACGGGCAAACAGAGCACAAGGGAAGGTTGCAGTAGCAGCAGCAGCAGCAGCAGGGAAAGAATAGGCGGAAAACAAAAAAACACCCGAAAGCTCAGCGTCGTGTAGTTTACCAGTTGCGTTGGTGTTTTGTGGATTGGCGGCATCAAACCAAGAGCCAACAAACGTGGGACGCGACGTGACCAACGCGAGAAAATGCACGAAATTAACCGAGTATGTATAGCGGCACGCATCACCACTCAACGAACAACCTGGGAGCTAAGAAATCCAGGGTAAAAAAAGAGTAAGATCTGAGAGCTTTGACCACAAGAACAGGTGCTCAAAACCAACACAACCCGCACTTGGGAAACCCAAAGAGGCGGGACGAAACCACCCTCGGGAATAATCAGGTGGTGGTGCGTACTGCTATATGCCAGGTATTTCAAGGCCAAAGAGAATCAAGCACACCGTGGATGCGAGTGAGCGACAGGGGAAGAATAGCGAACATGCCTCCTGTCTTTTGTGTATGTTCAAGTGGTGAGCGAGGAAATATCCCGGCGCAATCAATCACTTGGACGGGGGTGGTACCGCGCTCATCCGCTTCTTGTCCCACAGCACTGTTGCTTCATTTATCTACTCTCTCTCTCTCTCTCTCTCTCTCTCTCTCTGTACCCCCCCCTCCCCCTCTCTACATCAACCTATATTTCTCTCTGTACCCCCCCTCCCCCTCTCTCCATCAACCTCTATTTCTCTCTGTACCCCCCCCTCCCTATCTCTCCATCACGATCAATATTTCTCTCTCACCATGTACCACCACTGTCCGATGGTCATGAAGGAGCACAGAGAGGCCGCCAGGCGCAGCAGCTTGTAGTTGGGACTTCCCTCGCGGCTGATGAAGGCGTAGTGGTACAGGGACGCGAACACCGTCACGAACCGGAAAGAGAACACCTGAAAAAAACAAAAACAAAAAAAAACACAATCATGTGAATGTCACCACCTGTCGAAGATGTCGGAGATTGTAACGTGTCAAATGACCTGTCGGAGGTAGATCTGCCTTCAGGGTGTTGGCCAAAAGTGGACATGCCGAACCCACGTATATGTAGAGCGCATCAGCTGCCCCCTCTCTCACACAAGTCGTTCCGTATATATCTCTTGGACCTTCAACCTCTCTGGCGAGTGGATGAACCTGGTGTGTCCACACCACACATCCCTAAAGGAACTTGAGCCACAGCGGCAGTGCGAGCCTGGAGACCCCCGTCTCATGACCATCACAATCAAGTAGAAAAAACACCACGCTTGGGAAGAAAAAAGGGCATGACTTGAAATTGACACAGCGAACAAGAAAATGGCCTGCAGGTGACTCAATCATAATTACCTTGACGATTAGGGCGTTGCGGTACTTATTCTCCGTCTTGTGGTTCTCCAGATTGTTCAGGAATACACCTGTTGGATTGTTGCGTCCAAATCGCCGAGAAAACAAAAGAAAACAATTGGGGATCGGGTTTTTAAGACAAGCGTGGATGAGGCTCTATAACAAAGTGCGGATAAAGGTTTTAGGATATAATTGATGACAAGGTCTCAATACAAGTCGAGATAAGGGGATCGATATTCTTGTGAAACGAAGAAGTACATTATTGTTGTTCGACGTCCGACGCGTGACGTGATGACTTCGTTAAAGGGCCTTGGGAGGGTACACGGATCGAAAGACGTGTCAAGACTACACCCCATCCCTGACTCCACATTAGCGTAGATGCCTGCGTGGTATGCACATCTTCACAGATGTACGCATGACTGTGCGTTGTATGCGTGCTGTGTGTACTTTGCAACAAACGATACCCACCGAGCTTCTTGCACAGGCCGTAAAGGATGGGGATCATGATTCCGTACAGCATGGGCTTCACGAGCATCACGGCCCAGAAGGCCGGGTCGGCCATGCCCTTGTCCACCGCCGACGACCCATCCCTCTTCACCAGGATCTGCGTCAAGAACACAATCACGGCAGTCACGATACACAGCAACAAGGAAAGTATAGCACAGTGCCCACTCGTACCACCACGGTGAGAGTTTTTGGGGTGATGATGAGGACAGCAGTGAGGAACAAGCTCTGATGTTGGTGTGAGGGTCAAGCCCTAAGCCCTAAGAGCAGCGGCGCATCCACGACCCCTGTCACTACCAGCAGCAACCAAAACCACCACGAACAACAATTCGCAAACATAACAACATCAACAACAATCACCAACCATGCGGGCAACACCCTCGACCAATTCGCCGCCCTGGTAGGAAAACCAACATACAACATGTGTTATTTCTTAGCATATCCATCCCATCGGGTAGACGGGTGTGCAAATAGGACCTACCTCTCTCCATAACCCCCTCGCTGAAGACTCACATCCGCCCCCATTCGTGTGGAGGGTTCACCGAAAGTAACATCCGTCTTCCGACAAAAAAGAAAATCAATGATACTCAACGTTGTCGGTCTGAAATATCTCTTTTGGTGGGAGCCAAGGTGTGCCTTTGACCGAGGAAATAAACGACCTATTGCCGGCTAGACGATTAAAAAATGGAAAAAAAAAGCCAGAGCAGCTTGGACTGAACGCAGCAGCAACAGCAGCAGCAGCACCATCACACCACCTGTCTCAAGGATGACCAAAAAAAAAAAACAGTCTAACAGCTCCAAAAACGGTAGTCTCAAGGGTAACAGCATCAAAACCGGCAGTCGAAACGATAACGGCACTAAAAACAATTCTCAAAGGATACCGTATATGACACAAGATAACACCCCCCCTTGACCGACTTTCGAAGCTCGATTTCTCAATTGCCGGGACAGTCACAGCGCCGAAAACGGCGGCGTTGAAACCGTCTCGTCGATAGCTTTTCGAAAATGTATCGTTTCCTTTATGCACCCTCTTCGTCGTGGAGTAATCGAGATTTGAAAATCGGTCCAGGGGGTGTGTTATCCTGTGTCATATACGGTGACCAACTTCCGAACTCAAGGATAACAGCACCACGACCAACACCATACTCACGAGGAACATGAGGGTTAGCACTCCC